GGGGGGGGGGGGGGGGGTGCCTGACATCACAGTACCCGCGCTGGCGGTGCTGGCCGGCTGAGGCCCACTTACTTGTGCTGCTTCATCAGGGTGCACTCGCCTCCCTCCTGGGGGTCCAGGTTGTACATGTACAAGTACCCGTCGGAAGCTCCCACCAGTAGCCGGGGAATCTTCTGAATTCTAGGAAGAATCAGAAGGAGCCCGATTCTAGGACCTCCGCTTTCATACAACATTCTTGGTAAACCAGGAGCCTCGCCTGTGGCACAGCCAGGAAGGCCTCTCACCCCCCACCCCAAAGGAGCAGAGTTAGTTTCGTGCGCTCCACTGGTGAGAAGAGAGATGCCGCCCGCCCGCCGCCTGAGGCCACAGCATGGGGGCTGCGGGTGCACTTCGTGCGAATCGACACCCAAGCCCACAGAAGAGCTGGGAACAAAACCACTTCCATGGCTTCTCTGAATGCTAAGCGTAGATATTTCAACTACGTTAGTTGGACAAAGAGGAGGTCAAGTAACGTTTGTTACGTGCACGGAATCACGAAGACGTGCTATCGCGGAATTTTCAAGACAGTATCTCCCTGCGTGGCTACACTCTGGACAATCCGACGAAGCTCACACCAGGCGCCTTGTGCATTCTGAAGCCCCACTCCAGAGCGACACAGACAGCCCTAGACTAGGTCACACTGCAGGTTCTGTAGGTCCCAAGAGGTTAACTATTGGCGGCCTCCTATAGTTCAGATTTAGGCAGTTTCTTTAGTAACACGACCAATATTCCCAACAGAAACAGAAAGAGGAAGAATTTTTGGATCAGAACAACGCAGGGGAAGCATTTCAGTCCGGTAACAGTGAAGAGGCACTTGGGGGTTCCCTCAGCTTCCACTTAACTCTCGACCAAGCTTTGCAAAGGCCTAAGTTCCGGGCTGTTCCCGGGCCGGGAGCAACTTAACGGGGCCACACCTCCACCGTCTGCAGTGATCCGAGACCAGGCTCCTGACTGGATGTACCCTGGCAGGAGAGAGAGAGGTGACCCCTGTCCCTACTCACGTGGCCAGTGAGCAGATGTTCTTGTGGCCACAGAAAGGCAGGCGGACTGTGGCAAAGGCTCTGCCCTGGTTGAACATTTCTGTTACTTGGGAGGGCAAGTAGCTGGTGGACGCCATGAGCACTTTCCCGAAGTACCCGGTCCAGGTGGTGGGCTCCTCCTGAGGTCTAGAAGGAAGAACCATTATCAGATACACAAAGGCGGACTCTCCGCCAGGACAATGACCAGGTCCCACTCACAGAAGCAAGTATCAGCCCTGAAACTGGAAGAGGGGTTCCCCACACCTCGGGAAAAAGGGGCGTAGAGAACGACGAAGTCTCAAGAGACTGGGGACGCTGTGGGCGCATCTCCTGAGAAGGGTCAGAGGAGGCCTGTCAGGTTTCAGAACCTAGAAGAGCCTTGCTCCCCCCAGGGGGCCACACCAGACGGCGGCAGACGGGCAGGCTCCCCACTTTGCAGCAGAAGTGAAAATGCACGGGGCCAGATTCATGACCCGCCCTCCGCCCCAGAACTTTTCAACAGGAAGTCTATGGAAACCTCATGAGCACACATCTCAATTTTTTCCCCAGAGCCCGATTTTGTTGTTGTTCACGTGGATGTATTTGTTAACTTATCGTAAATATTCCTTTGAGTAAGACAGCACGTGAACTAACAACACTCAACCTTGTGGGTGTCTTTTTAAAAGTTAAGAAAAGAACCTCTCCTTCGCTGCGCACACCCGTCAGAGTAACGCGGAATTTCAATCAATTGCTTTAAATGCAGAAACCACCTGTGGGCAGGCTGGAGCCAGCACGCACTCCCACGTCTTGTGTGGGTAAAGGCAGTGGAACGAGGGGACATGTGCACAGACCCCAGGACGTCCCTCTTCACACCACCCCCGTCCCCCAACCTCCTGTCCTGCCTCACTGCCTCATCTTTCAGGGAAGTCATTTCACCGCTGAGCCCACATCTGGTGACACTTACACGAGAGGCAGCTCCGGGGTGTTTACTGGCAAAAATGTCTAAAGGCAGGACAACATCCGTGCTGGAATTTCCACCCAGTCAGTGGAAAAAGTGCTTTGTATTTTTTTTTTTTTTTAAACAAACATGTCTCTGCAACTCAACTCACTTTTCTTTCACAGTCTCAAGTTTGAAGATGTGCACAGTCTCAGTGTTGCTGGACGCGGACAGGAACAGGCTGTCCATGCTGAAGGCCAAGGAGCAGATGCTCACACACCTGCGGGTGAGCAAAAGAGGCCTGAGTGACGCGGTCGCCCGCAAACCTCCAAGGGGCGATTAGCAACCTTTCTCCAGGGACTTTAAAGTCAGAGAAGAAAAGTTCTCGGAATTGGCATACTTGAGTCTACGGACATCTTTCTTATTCCTCTCCAGACGCTTTTTCAAAAATTTTTCTGAAGAAAAAATGTTTTAAAGATAATAAATTAAGAGCAATTCTTTACCATACTGCTGGCTAATTTTCTTTGAAATTCCAAATAACAAAGGGATTTAGGGCTTCACTAAACCAGTTTTAGCTGAATCAGGCAGGATTTACAGCACTCAGGTTAATAAAACAAAGTCCAATAATTCAAATCCTCGCAATTCTTAACACGCAAGGCAGACTGGCAACCTTGGTGGTATCTAAGAGGAAAGCAGAACTTTCAACACGCTCAGACTCTCCAGTTTATCTTAAAAACCGCTGTAAAAATCCCAAAGCCTCAAATGAACCTGCACTTGCTCCTGATACTTAGAAGTACAAGATGCGTCTGCCCCGTCAGGTCAGTACGTGTGTAACGGGTGCCTATGCAGTGCCGGTGTCGGGCCAAGCTCCGGGGATGAAGCGGGGAAATCAGGAAGGGCTCTTGCTTTCACGGAGCTTCGGTGAGCCGAGTTCGCGGACAGTAATCTGCCGCAAGAAAGGAGAGCCGGAAAGAACGAGTGGGCGGCGCTAGAGACCCGTGGAGGGAAAGGTTGTTGCCACGCGAGGGTCAGCAGTCGGCCGGGTCACAGACTGACACCCAGCACAGGAGACCGCACAGGCGAGACCCGGTGCAGAGAGTTCCCTCTGAGGAGCGGGCGTTCAGTGTGGCCGGAGCTGGGAGTCACGGGGCCAGGGCAGCCGAGCTGGAAAGGCAGGGAACGGCAGGCCTCACGCACCACGGCTGGGGGGGTCTGCGGTCGGCCCTGCCGGCAGGAGGCACGCCTGGAACTCCCCCAACGGGCGTGTGCTTTACTGACACTGACACCCTCAAAGAGCAACCTGGGCCACAGTCTGAAGAATGGACCGAAGGGGCCGACGACAGAGACCGAGGCACACAAGAGGTCAGACGGCGGTGATTCGAACTGGGAGGGCAGAGGCGGAAGGGAAAGGGGGTTGGTGGGACTGACCCAGGGTGCCGACACCCCTGCCACCTGACTGAATGGGAGAAAGGAGCCAGTGTGGAGCCCCTCTGACCCAGGCACCAGGTCGATGGTGGCGGTGTTCACCAAGATCAGGCACGTGAGCGATGAAGGGCAGATGGGGGGCACCTTCTGGTGGGTCACCGGGGGCCCCAGCATCCAGCAGGCAGGAGAAATACAGGTGCGTGTCAGGAGAGCAGCCTGGGCCACACACACAGGTGGACCCACCAGCACACAGACAACCCGGTTTAGGAGCCTGTGGGAACCTGTGGGGCCGCACAGCACAGGAGGAGAGGCTCCAGGGCAGAAGTGAGACACAGGGAGAGGAAATGGAGAAGCAGTAGCAGTAGAAAAATCGAGAAAGGTGAATGTAAGGAAAACCAAGAGAAAAAAGGCAAGAAACCTAGGAAGCAGTAATGGGGAGGGACTGAGGCATCTGGCTTTGGAGACGGGACCCTAAAGCACGCGTGTGCCGTCTCTGGGAAGGACCCCAGGGATGAGAGGGAGTGCTGATGCACGACGCAAGGTTCCCAGAAGTGGGGGTGGCCAACAGCTGCAGGTTCTGGAAAACCTCCCGGCCCAGTTCCCGCCCTGGGGTGGGCACTATCGGTGGCCCCTTCAGGACAGGGACCAGAGCCCTAGAGCCAGTCCTGTGGAAGAGGACCCAGGGGGTGCCAAGTACAGACCCAGCAAGGTGTGCAGACGGACAGGGAGATTAGTGGAGGGAGCACCAAACGCTGAGGGGTTTTCTGAGTAGAGGAGCAGGACAGGAGCGTGATGAGCAGGTCAGGAACTCACGGGCCTGCCACCTCAGAGCAGGCCGAGGAAGCCACATGGCTCCAAGGGGTCCAGTCAGGCCGCTTCCTCCTCATTCTTGGGCTGCCTGGCCATTGCCCTCCGTTCTGGGGGGGTGGCAGACAGAAGAAAGCCAGCTGGCGTTATAAACGTGCTCCTCTACCCGTCAGGACGACCCCCAAGTCCCCTCTGACCGTCTGGCTGGGTTGAGAAACACTTGTGCGTCGAAATGGGGCTCTCAGGGCTGCTTTAAGTTTCCACTCGATCCAGAGAACACACACCCGAAATCCAAATGTCAACTCCAAAACCAGTTCTGGGACTTCTGTATCTTACCTCTTAACTCCTCTGCGGAACTCAAAGAGTTTCTGTCCCTCTGGAATGGAAAACACCCTAATCACGGTCCCCTGTGACAGGTGAAAAAGGAAAGAAAAAGGGATTTTAACCGAGTGAGCCCAGCCTTCTGTCTCCTTCACATCAGACTGTGAAGGAAACACAAGGGGCGCCACTCACCAGCAGCTTCCACACGCCCCCTGCACGCCAGCAGCACCCCACTCTGCCCACGGGAACACTTCCCGCTTCTACTGCGTACTCAACGTTTACGCTTCTCTTCAAATGCGGCCGCTGTAACTCCCTGCTTGCTCTAAACCCCGATACCCTTGGAGTCAAGTGTGCAACAGTTCTGGTCCTTCTACGTGGCGTGAAGTTTAAACTCTTACGAGCCGACCCTGCTGCACATCAGGAAGCATCACCTCACTCGGTGGTCTGAGAGGTTCAAGGACCGCCCCCCCCCCCAACCCCCCACCCGGAAGCCTCTCTTGCTGCTTCAGGTTGAGTTACTGATCAAGGGAACCACTGGCTGGAAATGCTACTTAATGGCCTAAAAACCAGTAAGTCTCAACTTATACACGGTAGGACCAACACTAAGAGAACCCATATGACTCAGACAAAGGAGCGTATGAGCGAGCAGTGAGCGGCCCTACTTCCCCGTGTGGGGATGAGCCATTCTCAAGATGCCAGTTTCCTGCCGCTGCCCTGGAGAACGGGGACGTGTGCCTGGAAGGGCAGGACTTGAACATCTGAGAGAGTAAGACAGAACATCCAAGAGAGTGAGCACGAGTGGTGCTTTTGACATCCAGATGTTAAAAGAATACTAACAAGCTACGGTCATAAAACACACAGGGAAGAGACTCCCAGGAAAACCTGAAAACAGGTAGTATCTCAAACGTGCGGGGGCAGGAAGAATTAGTCAGAGGGTCACCTGACACCAAATGCGTTTTGGGAGGTTCAAACTCTTCAGTGTGAAAACCATTCTAGGATATCTGACGTGTTTATGAATAGTAAAAATAAATAAATAAATAAGCTATAAGCAACCTAATTACAGAACACCAGGAATCGTTTCCTTCTGGAAAACGTTCTTTAAATATAGTGATTCTCTCTGGATAAAAAGATACCAGATGAGTTTGCCATTCTTGAGACTTGAAAAGGATAAAATAGCACACTCATCTACAACAACAACCACAGCAAAGGTTTTGTCCTCTGTAGTCTAAATTTTCGGATGTAGAAATTTATTTTAATGGCATACCTATTGCGTAATACTAATTAACGGTGAGCCGGTAAGGAGCCTCACTGTGCCCACTGAATGCAGGATCAAGCATATAGCTGGACACGGCCGAGCGCCCCGCAGGACGGGATGCCGCCAAGGGCTAACCCCACGCACCAAGAGTATTCGGGCTAAAAGCAAATCAGAAGATTGCTCTTCATTGTCCAGAAAGCTCCAGTTCTGTTTTTACCGGCCTTGAGGCTCCACAAAATGCTTTAGGGTGCTTCTCTGACCCGATAAGAACTACGGAGACGAGACTTTATTACCCAAGGGGTGACAGAAGCTCACCGCCACTGCCCTAGAAGCGAACAAGGCGACGACGCAATCGTCCAGTGGTGTTTAAAAGCAAAGCCAGGCTTGGAGTCCAAACCTCTGCTGCCACCCAGCTTGGTGATTCCGAGCAAATGATTAATCTCTCTGAACCCTCGATATGAAATGAGAATATGTGTACCTTGCTGGGGGATGGGATGGGGTCATGAACATAAAAGACCTGTGTCCTCGGTGACTAAGGGAACCACAGATGGCAGCGCTGTTGTTACTGAAACTGGGGGACCCTTGCGGCAGAGTTCAAGCGGACTTTTCTCAAATCTTACGTGGTTGGCTGGCTCAAGGGGAGAGGAGACAGGAGGCAGGCTACCTAGGTTGTCGGTGAGCAAGCATCAAAGCACAGCTAGGCAGCAGGGAACTGCACAGAAGAAGCCGGAACAGAGGAGAACGAGATTAAGGAGACCAGAGGAGCTGTAAAGGAACAAGATGTAGCAGCCAAGCTGGGAAGACAGTGACGCCCCTCCGG